ATCACGTCAGGCCAGAGAAGCCTTCCCTTCCCTACCAAGCTCAGGACAGGCCACTTGTTGTCTGGGCATGTGGCACCCTTGGGCTCCTGAGGGGTTCCTCAGCCTCCGCCATTCCAACTCCCCCAGTCAGCCCCACGGCTCACCTGGGCACTGGTGATGGCTTGAGGCTCACCTCCTGATTGTTGGACACTCTTCGGACTCGGGCCAGATATTCCCCCCATGCCTCATAGCTGCCTTCATAAGTGAGGTTGGCCCAGCAGCTGGTGGGAAGCTGCAGAGAGACCCGGAGCTGGTTTCCGCTCCTGGAGAGGGTCACCTTGGACAGCCACAGAGTTGCTGGGGAGGAGGAGGAGGTGAGCAGTAAACCTGGAGGAAGCTGGGCACGGTCGCCCTGAGCAGCTCCCCCCTCCCACTTTCTCCTCCTGGGGCCGCCCCCGCCAGCCGGTTTGGCTCCCTCGGCCCTCCAGGAAGAGCCGTTTCGCGTCCCCGAAGGAGAGGCTCTTCGGCGGCCTCTTGCGCTACCTTCGCTTGGCGTAAATCGGCGCGTCCATATCCAGGCAGAGGAGCGGTTCCCGGCTATGGCGCGCACCCGGGCCAAATAGTGAAACGCGGGCTGCTGAGTTTCGCAGGTGAGGTCACAGGAGTGGAGCGCGATCCGAGTACAATTGGCGGCGGCCCTCCAGCTGTCGTTGCCGACCCTGCGGGCGGCGGGAAGTGAAGCCGAAGGCTGTTCTGACCCGGAACACAGGCAAGGGCCCGACCCGACTCGCCTCTCGCTCCCGCCTTGCCCCGCCCTTACCGCCGATACTGCACCTCGTACAGGACCCCGCCGGCCGGTTTAGGGCCCGGTTTCCAGCGAAGCAGGTGATGGAAGACGCGGGCCTGGAAGCGCACATCCGTGGGCGCGGCGAGAACCCGCTCTCCTCCCGAGGAGACAGGCAGCGGCCGGGCGTCCCGGGTCCGGCACCTGCCCCTCCCTCTCCCGCTCGCCTCCTGTGGGTCGGCCGCTTGGCAGTCGCCGCGGTTGGCTCTTCCCTCACCGTGGCCCGGAAGACAGGAGAAGGCGAGGAGCAGCAGCAGCAGGAGCGCCGACACCCACCTCTCGGCCATCCTAGGCGTTTGCCGGAGGGCGACTGAAAGCGGAGCCTTTGCTGGCGTGCGTGGAGCAGCTGGCTCGGCTTTCGCTTCCTCTGGGCATTCCCCGCTGGGCCCCCTTTTGGGGAAAGCCCCGCCCGCGCCGCTTCTCCGCCGCCGCTTCCTCCCAGGCCCCGCCGGTTTTGCCGGAGAAGGAGCGCAATGATGGACAGGTCTGCGCTGGGGAAGGAGCAGCTGATGGGGACGAGAGAACTGCCGGAAGACCTTGGCCGGCCTGCCGCGGCCCCCCGCCTGGCTGCCCACCTTCTGCTTCTGATCTGGGACCCTTCCTCGACTCTAGACGGCCCCTGTCTTAACGGGGGGGGGGGGGGGAGATGGGGAGTCAGTTTGGTCTAGTGGTTAAGGCACCAGGAGAGAAACCGGGCGCCGTGAGTTCTAGTCTTGCCTTAGCATGAAAGTCAGCTGGGTGACCTCCGGCCACTAGAGAGGTTCGGTTTCCGAGCGCCCATCCTGATTTTCAACGGCTCGGCCTTGGGGTGTCCTCCCGTGGGAACTGCCGCCTTCCAAAGCCTTTTGGGGGAACTGTTGGGTTCTGCACTCCGAGGCCGTTTCTGATATCCGCCACTTGGGTGTCCCCTCCGCTATTCTCACTTGGGGCTGTTTCTGGGCCAAAAGACCCGAGCAGGTGCTGGAACGCGAGACCGAATAAAATTGCGTCCAGGGAAACCGCCTTTCCCACCCTCTGGAATTGACTTGCTGGAAGCAGGATGTAGGAATTCCCCCGCTCAAACCTCCGTCCTTCTCATTTTGCAACACTAACCCTTTTGGGAGGGCGGGCGATAAAGAGAGTGACGTCGGGAAGGGCTTTAGAATAGAGGCAGCTCGTTTCGTTTTCAACTCCCGGGTCAGGCGCTTCTGACTGGCCGGTTTTCCCAAGCCGGGTTTTCCGATGCGCAGAGGCTGCGTTGAAAGCGGCCCCTCCTTTGGATAAGTGGAGCAGGCTCGGACTTCTTCCATGGCCCCCTTGAAAAAAAAAAGGCTGTGTCCCTGGCGGGAGGCCGTCTCCGCCTAGCCCCCTTCCACTGGACTAGCGCCATGCTCCTCCGGCCCAGAAGCCTCCACCTGTGCCGGGCAGTTGAAGAGGGGGAGGTGGGAGGGAGGCATCTGCAGCCACAGGGAGAGACTCAATGCCCAGCCTCTTTCCAGCTGGAGTGCCTTTTCTGGTAGCCCTCCCAGCTGGCTTCCCTGTGTCAGACTAATCTCTGGTCAGCACAACCTATCTGTGTGGTGTCCTTGACAATTGTGCAGGAGGGGTTTGTCCTGGCCTCCTTTTGGGATGTTTCCGCCTGAGTTTTGGTCCAGGGATTCTCTGGTGGTCTCCCATCTTAGTATTAACCTTGTTTAGTTTCTTCCAATTAATCCAATGAAACAAACAGTGGTCACTGAAGTCTCCCTCCCCCTTTAGTGCATTGGCTTAGTCCCCTCCCTCACTGCTCCTGTTGGTGACCATTAGGAAGTGTATATTCCTTAGTTTAATTGTGCTGGATGCAAAAATAACTTCCTTAATCTTCCCTGAATTTCTCACCATTCAACCTCACTAAATTCTGGTATTATAAGAAAGAGATTTTCTTGGGAGTGAGAATGATTTTATAAATGTACATCATGTTTCCATTTTAAGAAACAGAAACAGAAAAACCCCAAATGTTGTAATTGTTCTGCTCTGAGGAATTTGTTCAACCCACTTCCCAATTTCATTCATGTTCCAGTTTAGTTGTTCCCCCCTGAGAAATAGTCACCGCATCCGTGCACCAATTTGTTTCCGCCCCCTGCACCAGTAGCAGTTTTATTTTCAGTTCCTTAAAGGCCTCAGGACCACACCTGCTTTTTCAGAGTTGGTGAAAGAGGGGCTGGGAGTGGGAGATGCCTCCCTTCTTCAGGCTGTTCAATGCAGATCTGGGCCTGTGAGGCTGGTGTTAGGCTTTGGAATGAGAAGCACCCATTCATACTATCTGGAGCCAGGAGGAGGAGGACTGGGTTACTTTCAGTAGCCAAATATCATTGGTTTGTCATTGCTACAGACTCTTCCTGAGTTTAGACAGTAGAACAGTGGTTCCAACTTTCAAAGGCAATCCAAGGCTTTGGGTCTCCATGTCTTTGTGGTTTCCACCTCCTCAGAGCTTCCTGGCCAACAGCAGAGGTGGGTCTTCCTCCCTAACTGCACATCACCCTCAATGACACTTCAGTTCCTTGGCAATTTGCTGGTGTGTGGGAGAAGAAACGAGTGTTCTCCATCAGCAGACTTGCCCAGGAATCCACTCCAGACAGTTCGATGATCCTGGGCTCATTCAGAGAGTCATACGGATGAGTTCTGTAAGCCCCTGGATTCCCTTGTTTGGACTTTTGCTATGAGTTACCTTCCTCCCCTCCCCCTGGCATTACTATGGGGAGCTCTTAAACGGCCTCTTCCGAAGACTCCCCCCCCCACCCGCCCTCCCCAGCTTTCTGACAAGAAGCATGAGTGGCCCGTGGGTGAAAGCCCTCCAGCTGCAGGAGGATCCCCTGAAGCTTTCTTAAGGTCCTTTGGCTTCCAGGCAAACCCAGACCCATTTGGCCTGGTTTCTTTCATTGTGGTGGGATGTTTTTTCCTGGTGCTGCCCTTGGAGACTGTCCTGTTTGCAGCAGCTTTTACTTGTTTGCAATGTGCCTATTTGCTTCCTTTTCTTTCCTAAGCTGCTTGGGCATTTTGATGAAGGGTGAGGAAGTTAGGAAAAATGAAAGAAGTATTTTTTTTCCTTCTAGGTCTCCAATCACCTCAGTTGCTGTCCTCTGTCCTATTCCAGGTCTCTTTCCTAAAATGTGGCATCCAGAATTGGATGTTATAGTCCAGCTGCAGTCTGACTAACGGGGAGTGGAAAGGAGGAGTCACTGCTTTTAATTTTTGATAAGGAGCTTGCCTCGGATTGCATGAGCCTCCTTGATGACTGCATCTTCGTAGTGGATGTTCACAATTTGTTCTAACCAGAACTTCTCCCCATGAACTGCAGCCCTCGGTTGTTTCTCCAACTACAGCCTTGCTTTTGAAGAAGAGTTGGAGAAGTTGGGAATCTTTAACCTGTAGAAGAAAAGATTAGAGGGTATGTTATAGTTACCTCCAAATCTGAAAGATTGTTATATGGAAGTTTGGGTAGATTTATTCAAAAAAAAAAAAAAAATCCAAGAAAGTTTGGGCTTAATTGACAAGAAACAGCAGCAAAAAAAAAAACCTCAACAGCAAAAAACAGAGTGTTTTTTGGAGAGTGTTCTATACACACTAACTATCCAATTCCCACACACTGGCTGGACAGCACAGAGAGGCTTCTTCAGGAAGTAGCAGACGCCCTTTTGCTAGAAATGTGTGAAAAAAAGGGTAGATGGCCATCAAATGCCTTTGGAGGTGGCCTCCCACGCCTCTTCCACTGGTCCAGGGTTCCAGAAGCGCTTTCCTGCCTACCTCTTTTAGTGGCACGCAATCTGGTGGGAAGTAGAACGGTTTGTTTTTTCCTTCTCATCCTTCCTCTTCTCCTGTGTCAGGTACTCCCTTTGGATGTCCTCCCTTGGGTGTGGCTGCCCTGATCTCCCCTGCTCTTTGGCTGGGGAGACCAGCTCAGGGCAATGGCCAGGGAGCTTCAGAACGGAGGAGTGTTCGGCAAGACTCCCGTGGGAGGGTCCATTGACCAGGCAGCAAGAAAAACCCGCTTCTCTTGTCAAGGGGGGGGGGGTCCCCATTGGGAGATCTGAAGCCAGCTGCTCTCCGAAACATGGCAGGAAGGCTAAGCTGTGCAGAGTAATCTTTCAGGTCAGGCCAGTTTCTTCCCTGCCTGGCTCTGGAGGTTGCCACACACAGCTAGCAGGGAGGGAGCCAGGCAGGTAAGACAGGTAAACTTCCCACTCAGCGCAGTTGTCCCAGAGCTACATTGTGGGTTGGCTGCTGGCAAACCTGTGAATCTCCTACGTATGTTTGAAGGAAGGCAGGAGGCCATGGACCTTGAAAGGTTGCAGTGATCCACCAGGGCTCCTGGTGGTGGGAAGAGGCCCATGGAACAGCCCCCGTACCTGGTAAGTCAGCTCAGGGAGGGAGGGAGGGAGGGAGGGAAGAACCTTCTGATCACTGGAGTGATGGGATGTGGTCAGTAGACAATACAGATCTTCCTGGAATTGGTAGAAATGAGCACCAGAGAGGAAGGAGGAGTGGGCTGGAGCCTCCAGCAATCCTAGGACTGGGTGGCTTTCTCTTCTCCGAGGCTGTTCAGAGTGTGAGGGAGCCCCTCCTCCATAAATCCTGCATCCGCAGTGCTGGGCAGCACTAAAGCAGGTCTCCTTGGCAAAGGCTGTAATCGCCTCCCGAGCCTCTTCCCTGCCCAGTGCTCTCATCAGCATTGGGGGGGGGGGGGGGGGGGGGGGGGGGGGGGGGGGGGGCAAGAGCAGATTGCAGGGTAGGCAGTCTTTCTAATCTGTGATTCTGGGAGGGCTGCTTCTTTCCTTGAGATACATTTCTTAAGAGCATTTGCCCCCCCTTCCAATATTTGAGGGGCTGCCCCAAAAACCCTCAAAGCACCAGAAGGCAGGACAAGAAGCAATGGATGGAAACTAATCAAGGAGAGAAACAACCTGGAATTAAGGAGGAACTTCCAGACGGGGAGGACAATGAACCAGTGGAACTACTGTCCTCCAGAAGTTGTGGATGCTTCATCCCTGGAGACTGAACAGTTGCTTGTCTGAAATGGTGTAGGTCTCCAGCTTGAGCAGGGGGTTGGACTAGCAGACCTCCAATGTCCCTTTCAGCTTTGTTCTGATTGATTGATTGATTGATTGATTGATAGGCAAGGCTTGGTGCCAACCTCTCACCCAGCCCTTATGGAGGGCAAAAGCCTTTATCTGTAGTAGCCAAGGAACAGCAGGCATTCTCTGCCCTCCTCCAATCCCAATCTGCAGAGAGGGGGCAGGGCTGGGTCACTGGGGTGGGGTCCTTTCCTCAGGCTCTTTGTCTCCCATCTTCTCCAGACAGACATGGGGGGGGGGGGGGCATGATGGTCTTTTCCATCACGTTCTAGTGCACTTTCTGAGAATTGGTGCTGCCAGTACCGGACGTAAAGCGAGCAGACGGGAATAGGCACACCAGCACATGGGCCAAAGCACTGGAGCCTTGGACCAAGAAACTTGTCCAAGTTCCCCCTGATAAATGTGCCTGATAAACTTAATGTGCATTATGCTTCAATGGCATCACCATCTGATATAATCCTAGTGAATTATATGATTTGACAATTTATGATTAAAAATAACCTGGGAAATAATTTCCAGATACATAACAAACAAATCGATTGTGGAGAGACTGAAGAGGGGTGGGGGTGAGACTGACTGACAGCCCCCCCCCCCTAGATCCAGTGGGTTCTGCCCTTTGGGAAAGAGCAGCGTGGGGCAGGACGCAGAGCTCAGAGGCCTTAGCTGAGCAGCTGGTCTTTATCCAGGGCTTCAGGGAGGCTGGCAGGGGCCTCCTCTCTGCCAAGTGGAGGGGGGGCGCTTGACTGAGGTGGGCACATTGGTCTCTCGACATCCCTCCCCGAGCTTCTGGCCGGAAGGAATGGGCACGGCCAAGGTCTGCATTGTCCAGCCTCTGCCAACAAGCTGACAGGTCTACCTGGAGGGCTCCACTCCTCTTTGGCCCTGGTGAGAGAGGGGGTTCAGGAATGGTGGGGGGGCTCCAACTGGCTCAGGGCAGCATCTCCGGGATAGTCCAGTGTCCTCCTTGCCCTCTTCCCATCCATCTCCCAGCCATGAAGGGAAACGGGCGGGGGCGGGGGGGGGGATGGATTGTTATCCGATCTCTTTCCGGGAGGGTTCAAGCCCGATCATGGGACAGAAACGGCATCGATTCCCCTTGTGGGTGATCTCTGGTGGGAGTCAGATGGCGGTAGGACCTCCGTCCTTGCTCTCCTTGGCACCTTTCAGTACCATCGGCCGTGGAATCTTCTGGACCAGCTGTGGGATTTGGGCCTGGGCAGTGTAGTATGGCAGAGGTTCCGTTCCTTTTTCTGTGGCTGGTTCCAATCAGGGGGGGGGGGGGGGGGGGGGGGGGAGGCAGAGCACTTCCTTTGGGCTCACAACTCTCTCTGCCCCCTTCCAACCTTTTGGCTCTCCTGGGTTGCATTGAAGAAGAACAGCCTCGGGCAGCATATAAAATATATAATATAGTTAATTTATATAATGCATATAAATCACACAATAGTGTTGAAAGTTTACAAACTTGTGGGGCCGCATTTCTAGCTGTCCAGGGCTGCATGCAGCCTGCAGGCCAGAGATGGAATACCCCGATCTGCATGAAACCGCTGGGTATGAGGGATTTCATCCCTGGTGATGACCTAAGCGATGCCCTTTTGCAGGGCCTGGGATCTGTGGGGGCCTGGACGGGAGGAGGGGGAGGGCAACAGCTTTAAGGGAATCCTGGTCAGAGGGAGTGGCTGTGTGCATGTAGAGCCTCAGGATCATCTTTCGTTCTGGGTGGGATGCAGACCTGGTGTGCACCCCATCACACAACATTTTTGTGGTGTGCCCCTTCTGGATCGTAAGGCCCTGTGCTTAGCCGCTCATGCCCTGGTCATCTCCTACTTGGATTATTGCAACATGCTCCACATGGGGCTACTCCTGAAGAGTATTTGGGAGCTACCATTGGCCTAGAATGCAGTGGCATGAACAGTTTTGGAGGCCCCAAGCACAGCACGCATAATGTGAGCTGTGCTAGCTGCCGATCTTCTTCTGGGTGCAACACACAGTGTGGGTTACTACCTTCCAGCCATTGAGGGGAGGTGTCCAGGATACCTGTAGAACCGTCTTTCTCCAAAGGGATTGGCCCATCCCAGTGTGCTGGCAGGAGAGGCCAACTACAGATCCCATGAGCCAAGGAATTTTGGCTGCTAGGATCCAGGAGAAAAGCCTTTTCTACCATGGTTCCTGACCTTTGGAACATCTTGTCACAAGAACTAAGATTCTTTCTTTTAGCCTTTGGGAAAGGCCTTAGAACTTGGCTATGCTGTTGGCTGGAGGTGATCAGTGGGCTAGCAGAGAAAGCACCCCACCTCTTTGCTCCAAATCCATGTTTTTTTAGTTTGTTTTAATTTTTTGTCATTTTAATATGTTCTTATATTTTAAAGTTTGATATTTGTATATATTATCATACTACAAGCTGCTCAGAATTTTCTGAAACGACAAGATGGGCAGCAAATGAATTTATTACTAATAATAAGGTTGCAAGTGAATCAGAAGCTGGGAATCTGATCCTCCTGAGTGACATCAGAGCCCAGCAGCATTCCGGGTGGGCCAGGAGGGAGTTGCTACCTTGCAAGCAACCAGGACAGGATGACTGGAGGCTGAGAGCCATACTGCTCAGCCCTGAGTCCTTTTGGATGGCTGGGGACCAGGCGGCCATCCAACCAGGGACCTGGCCTGGCTGGTAAGATTCCTGGTGGAAGATTCCCCTGCTGGTGCAGCTTCAGTGAGCACAATACACACACTCCACATTGCTCCTTCTAAGGAGGTCAGGGCTCAGCCCTTTCAGAGCAGAAACAGCCAGAAGGAAGAGGCCTTGCCTTGCCTTGCCTTGACATGCCATGACATGCCATGCCAATGGGGAACACAGCCTCTGGCAAGGATAGCACCAGTGTCCTAATTCAGGTAGGCAGCTGGAAACAGGGCTTCTCCAAAGGAGCACACCCAGTTCCTTGGCAAAGAGGCCTGCCCAGAAGCAGCTCAGGAAGAGTATTCTCTTGGCCTGTGGTGCCTCTGGTAGAAAGAGTACTTGGCTGTGAACGGCAAGGTTGCTCGAGGGAAAAGAGGGGGCTTAGGACTACCACTCCTGTTCAGATGATCCTTGGACATCTTTTCCAAATTTGGTCTTCTTTGCCCACAGGAAGGTCCACTGTCTTGTCAGGAGGTCCGGAGCGCCATTCTCTATGCCTTCCCATCTGCTGTCTCTCAAGTAGCCCCATCAGATGAGCCCATTCGAGGTGCCACCCTTGGACCTTATGCTACAGGAACCAGACCGAGCTCCCCACCCTGCATAGCTGGTGCAAGTCCAAGTGGTAAGAATCTGCAGGAACCTCCTAATGAGGGGGTAGAAGTTACACTGGGGGGGGGGGGGCTAGTCCAACCTCTTGCAATAGGAAAGACCCCTAAGTAGGGGACTGGGAAAGGTAGCATTGGGGGATGGGCTGAAAGAAACAGAAGCAGTCAGCTGGTTCTTTCTTATAGCTCCAGAGCCTCTTGTACCTCTGCTCTGTTGCACACAATGGCAGCTTCAGCAGTCCAGGCCTCTGGTTATGCAGAGGAAGGATGGAGGAAGGCTGATTCAGCCTGCAATTAAGCCCAACTCTTGCCTGCTTCCTATCTCCCTCAGTTCCAGCCTGCTGGAGATTCCCAGAAGAGAAACCTCTTGCTGTTCAGCCTCCCATCCCTCAGTCTTTGACTTCTCCTATGTAGAGATCTAAGCTTGTCCCACCACCTTCTTCCTCTCTCCACCTGCAGCTTCCTCCAGCCTCGCTGCCAAGGTATTCTGGGGAATGGGCCCGAAGAGGGTGGTCCTCATCATCTGCCTTCTCTTCCTCATTGTGCTGCTGGTTGCCCTCATCCTGCTCTGTGAGTCCTTCCGTTTTCTCTTAGAATAATAAGGTTGGAAGGGGCCTTAGAGGTCTTCTAGTCCAATCCCCTGCCCATGGCAGAAAACCCTATACCATTCTAGACAAATGGCTGTCCAATTTCTTCTTTAAAACCTCCAGTGATGGAGCACCCACAGCTCTGGGAGGGAAGCCGTTCCAGTGGTTAATTGTTCTCCCTGTCAGGAAATCTCTCCTTACTTCTAGGTTGGAACCTAAGTGATCTTCCACCTTGTCCTACCTTCTTGTTTTGCTTGCTTAGAATAAGAATAAGAATAAGAATAAGAATAAGAATAAGAATAAGAATAGAATAGAATAGAATAGAATAGAATAGAATAGAATAGAATAG